AGAGAAAAAAAAAAGTTTGGAGAATGAGGCATTTGGACTTTGGCTAGAAACGGAAAGAAACTGGACTTGTTAGCAAAGAGAGGGGTGTCATGAGTTGCATTGATCAGTACATTCGTTATAAAGATTGACAAACTATGGTGGTCACTTGGATTAATACTTGATGTGCTTGAGTTCTTAGAATAATTTCATCTTGAGTCCGGATAAATTAATTTGAGTTGTTTGAACTATGCACTTATGTGAGAATTGTGAGGCTCTGAGTAAAGTTCTACGTGCTTGTTTTCTTGTCTATCTATGTGTTTATAGTTCTAAGTTGCTTGAGGACAAGCAACAGTTTAAGTTTGGGGAGATTTGATAGGTCGAAAAATGTGCACGTTTTATATATTTAATAGTGTATTCCTTTACGTTTAATTTATTCGCACATCTATATTTTTCGACTTATTTATTATTTGGATGAATTCGTGTACTTTGATATTTTATTATCAATTTTCAGCATTTTTGGAAGTACTATTTCTGATTGCACGAAGATGTGTGAATGCACGAAGAAGGATGAAGATGGCTTTCCAGCAGAGTATGGGGTATCACGTACTGCCCCGTACTGTCCCAACAACACCCCATATTCAGACGCCCAGGAGGCCCAAGCATATACTTATTTCCATGCATTCAACTTACGGGCGAGGAAATTAATGCAATTGGGTGCCAAGACTTTTGAATTAGAAAAGTGGGCCTAATAATTACTTGGTGATGAGGTTTACATGTCAAAGGCCAATTTATCTTTTGGGGCCATATAATGAATTGGCCCAAATTCATTTAGAAAGAGGACACGCATGTTGAAGTCTTTCTTGGAGAGGAATTATTTAGCAGCGGCCAATTTAATTGGAGCCGTGGAGGACTAATTAGGGGGAATTATTATTCATTCACGCAACATTGAAGTCGCCCGACAGCAGAGAGAAAAAAGAGATAGCCGCCAGAGCTGCCGCAACACAGAAAGAAAAGAGAAGGAAGCATAACAGAGGACGCGAGAACAGAGACGGGAACCCGATCAAAAGCGGAGGGAGGCCGCACCCGTACACGAGGGAGATAATTAATCTCTCTCTTTTCTCTTTTTCTTTTTATTATTCATGTTAGAGTAGTTTTTATTTCTAGTTCCGGGGAAGTTGAACCCTACGACTTGATGATGTTTGATTAATTTATGGTTGATTATTGAGTTACCTTTTTGGAATTGTTCGTGTTATTTTGAATAATTAACCATGATGTGTTGAGTCTTATTTAGATTGATCACCTAGATTAGGCTTTACATATCTACACCTGAATTAGGACTTCAATCCGTAATTGTTGATGTGTTTAATTCGCAAGTGGTATCCGGAAGATGGTAACTACCGGGGATAACACGGCCTATTTAAGTGAACGAACACGTCACTACTTAGTCTAGCCTATTTTTATAATTCGTAAAGCGGCGGATTGTATTAAATCTAAGAAGCGTTTTCTAGACTGTACAAGAAGTCAGGTCTAATCGTAGAGCGTCTCGCGGTTAGATTAAAAATAAGGAAAAATTCGGGTAACAGACCGTGTCGTTGCCTAGGGCTAGTAATTTCATAAGATGGCAAGATTTGATACTAGAATTGATTAGATGAGTCAGTCGAGGGTGTAGACGGAACCGTGAACTAGAAATTTCTCTTTATTTATTCTATTTTATTTTTATTTTCTAGTTTAGATTTTATTTGCTTTAGTTAATTTAGTTCTTAAAATCAAACCCCCCCCTCCCCTTTTTATTGCTTTTATATTTCAATTAATACGAGAAAATTCACAATTTGATTCACACTCCCTGTGGGTTCGACCCTTGCTCGCCACTACTACTAGTTAGTAGAGGTTAGTTAAGGAAACTATAAATTTAATTTTACCGCGTTGCGATGCGCGGTCAATGTTGAACTGTATATAAAAGTGTTTCTTTGTTGCCCAATATTGCCTGACTGGATTGCCCGAGTGCCCGAGATACCTGTTCGTGCTACTCAAGTGTGCAAACTGCCCAATTATGTTACTCCACGTGGTCCTATCACTCCTATCCATATGTCTTTCTTATCTTAATTATATTTATTCTAATCCATTATGTGATGTGCTCACATTAGTCTATCTCATTAGGCAACCTAATCGTGTTATTAGCTCGATTTCTCTTGAACTATTTCTCTTTGACCTTCAGTGGACAAGTTTATCTATTAGGTTGTACATCGACCTATAGGCTTCCATGTTGAATTTCTGTTAGGCTACTTGAGAGACGTTTCCTCTGAGGTCACTGTCGATCGGGTGTTTCTACAACTTCTGATGTCTTTATTATCTAACGGACATGTCAGTTTACTCGATCCAGTCAGACTATTCTTAGGTCGTACTCGACTTGATTATATTGATGTTGACCACCGACTTGGTCAGCCAGATCAAGAAACACCACGTAGAAGGTTAATCGCAAATGCTCAAACAAGTATCAGAGGGAGTAGAGGGAATAGCCGACATGGAAAAAGTGTGCTACGAAACACAGTAGGCCGACCTCGTAAAAAAGGACGAGGACCGACTTACATGAAGGATCATGAGTCCGACCTCCATTTGAAACTGAGGTCCAACAGACATAGACAAGATGTCTTTCAGTCGGTCGCCGGTTGCACATGCCTTTATCATTACAAGCGGGCCCACTTGCAAGGTAGCCACCCCTATGCAGTCAATTCGCATTAAATGCCGCCGAATCAGTCTCAAAAGACGAGCCTAAAATTTTTATAAATAGCAACATTTACTACAATACCAAAAAAGGGCTCCCCGACACATTAAATACGATCATTTGTTAACTCGGTTCCACGCAAATCGACTTCTTGTATCCAGAAACCGACTTAAAAATAATAAAAATACAGCTAATTTGCAGCTTTCTTTAGGCTCAATCGCTCCGATTATCGTTTTTAATTTTCATATAACTAGTGTTATACCACAAATACCCGAACCGTTGAACCGCTTCTCTCCAAACCGGGTTCCGTCTCCTTGACCGTCGGTACCTGCAAAACACGCCGGGGGTGGTCCCGGCGCGAACACTCCAACGCTCAAGTCAGTGGTGGTCCAAAGAGAAAATGACAGAGTAACGAGAGAATTTGTATGTGTGTCATGTAAATGAATGAACATGTGCCCCTTTTATAGTTGGGGGCTAAAGAATCCCAGTGGGATCAGAAGTCTTCTTCGTATAAACCACTTAATTAGGTTAAGGGTCTTCTGAATTCCTAGAGTCCTTGTTGCTATCAACTCCTTCGTAACTTGATCACAAAGCCACCTTCAGGTTCTAGCCTCTTCGACGGCACCCTCTGGCCGGGCTCCTAAGTGTCGAGCACTCTTGAACGCCAAGCACCCGGGGACGCCGAGCACACGAGGACGCCGAGCACTCGGGGCCGCCGAGCACCCCTTAGAGCCGACCTGCCATGGACGCTGACATAGAGCCGGGCATTCAAGAGCGTCGGGCATGCGGAGACGCCGAACTCACCCAGCGGACCGACTGCCATGATGCTTAGTTGGTCCCTTTCATATGACAGTGATGACTGGATCACAACCGGTTCCTCACGAGCCACTACTAACGACCACATCAACTCATATGTCAACTGTTTCATCTATTTCACTACCCAAATTAGAGTTTGTTAATCCATCAAATGGGGAAACTCATCTTCTCTCTAAAAGAGGAAAAAAGAATCTCAATGGAATGAGCAAACATTACTTGTTGCATTTGGATGCATGAAATTCTATCAAAGAACGGTATTACTACCTTGAGCAAATGTGTGACATAAATAATTAAATATACATGCTTCACCATGGCCATAGTTTAACCATTTTAACTGAAATAGAGTGTACCATCACATCATTATAATGAAATTTTATTCTTTTCCTTCCCTCCCATAAGTTCTATGAAGAATCTCAAATTTTGACAAGATGATTACTAAACTAGAAATTAGAAAGAAAATCCTTAAACGTCACATGAGAACGCGCCATATTATAGTCGCCAATCAGTCGGCGAGTGTTGTTCACATCTATAATTGCGCGTGACGTCAATAAATACTAAAAATCCTTCCATAATCGGAAAATTGATAATACCAAACTTGTTTTCCCATCAGCCAGAACCAGGTACTATTGTGATAGCAGAGTGTACAACACTGTACTATCATACCTCATGCATTGAAAGTTGTACCTTTGAACAAAATTAGCGAATGAAGTTGTTTCTAATAAAATACAATACGAGGAAAGAGAGAGAGAGAGAGAGAGAGAGAGAGAGAGAGGGAGTGGCGAAGAGGAGAGCGATCAGAGAGAGAGAGAACCACGAAACGGGGTCTTGCCTTCTCAAGTTTCTGATTCGGAAAAATGTGTTCTTGACAGAAAATTCAGACAGCAATACAGCGAACGTGAAGCAAATTTTTT